ACTTCACGATACCGCAGAACGCAGAACGGGAATTGACCCTCAGGTCATTAAAAAGCTCATACAGTTGGTCATTCCATCTTCTTCTCGTTTTTAATGCATTGTGTCACGATTTTTCGTCATCCCTTGTCAAATTTGGTTAGGAGATAAACCGGTTTCGGCATTATGCCATCTTTAGTGTAAGTTTTATCTCATTTTTGTTCGTCGTCGTTCACGTTTCGGTGCTATATAGGCCTGGTATGTTGAGAGTTTCGTAGAGCGTATAGCCTTTGTTCGTCCATGGAGATCACGCTAACATTATTGGTGGTGTTTATGCTGGATTCTAGGTAAACAAAGCTCTTCACTACTTAACATTATAACTGCCAACAGTGACGTATGTCCCAATACGCAAAGACTTTTTATGTGTTGCTAGGAGTTACTTTGTCTTGTCCTCGTTCACCCTTAGACGTGCGCTGACGTCCCTGGGATTCAGGCCGATTATGTCTCTGGCTTGTTACATATACTTTATCCGTAGAAATCTCTATAATAGCTTAATTATGACATACGAGTTTGCCGCTTATAGTTATTCCTTATTACTTTCTAATCTCTTTCTATATATCTTGTTTACTATTTCATGGTACATGGTACCCTCACAAAAGCCAGTGTTGAGTGTCATGTATGGTCTCACTGATAACTTTACGATTCTCCATAAGAGTCGTAAAAGTCTTCAGAGAAGAGTCTCGTTAGAGTATAGCGATGGACAGTTTTACTTACAGTGAAGTACAAATTTCTTAACTCCTACGCAATTGAAAATTTTTGTTTGTCTTATTTGCTCATAATTCCCACTCCAATGTGGTTTGTGTAACCTAGTATTTGGTTTTACATACCACACCTAAATAGTTGATTTCTATTTGATACTCTTGCCACCGATTTGTATAAATTTGTTGTGTGCTCCTCGTCTGCATGTCAATCTCATATTGACAACTCCGCTTAATATTTGTACATATGCAGTAGTATTTGGTCTTTTGTTTATTTATAAATTGTGCCGTTCAAATAGAATTTATTTCTAGTCACCTTCAAGGCATATTGGCGTTATGGGGACGTCTAACAAAACTCGAACGAAAAACACTAAAAAAAAAAAATAAGTTTAGGATTTTAGTTGATTTCTATGAACGAAATTGAATGTTACGCATCATTGCGTGCATTGAACTCGCAGACAGACTGTTGATCTACATTCTACCATTTGAATGCGCAACAGTGTATACGTCGAATATGACATTCCCATAATAGTCATCTCGGTTGGCGAAAAAAGCACATACATATGTAATACATATTGTAATAAAAATATATGTATGCACATACATAGTACATATGTATGGGATCAAAGGCTTGGCTGGAGGCTGCATTACCCACTGACTTTTAACAGCTCTTTACAAGCGTCATCCGTCGTGGTTGGGCTTCACTTGACAATTAGGTAATTGTGGGTGTTGGTTCTGAGTTGTATATGGTCATTTGAAATGAACTTTCAATCATTTATTTTTGCAAGAAATCTGGAGCGTATAAATTTAATTTACACAGATTTCCCTGTTTGGTATTTAATTCGGTAATTAAAAAATATGAATTTCTGCCATTTATGATCACTTTCATATTTAATAGCCTCATTCGCCATTTTTAGGAATCCGAATTTCATTGCAGTCGTGCGTTATATGCTACGTATAAAATTAAGAGTTTTTTTGTGAGAATGTACAAAAAATTATCGACGAATTTAAAGAAAGCTGCCTTTTCCTACTATGGATGAAAAGTAAATTTTCATCCTGTACCACCCTAATGCCAGTTAAATAAATCTCTCCAAAAATCATTAAACTATTGGAAATATTTGGATTAGGGTCATAACAGTTATAAGTTATATTGGAAAAACGTGGTTCCATAACAGTTATTAGATGAGCAATTTTTTATTTCGCCGATAAGAGTTATAACCCAACGTTTACTTTTTCGTTGCCTGATAACTGTTGTGCAGGAAAAATATGATTTACGTCACCATAAGAGTTATTTGCCAACGTTTATTTTTTACGTTGCTTGATAACAGTTATTTCCCTAAGTATATTTTTTACGTCGCTTGATAACAGTTATTACCCAACGTTTATCTTTACGTTGTCTGATAACTTTTATTTTCATCTTCTTCTTATTTATCTTCTTCTACATCTCCATTTTCGTCAATATTCCTATCTTACAACGTTCATCTGACAACGTAAAAAATAAACGTTGGGCAATAACTGTTATTAAGCAACGTAAAAGATAAACGTTGGGCAATAACTATTATCAGACAACGTAAAAAATTGGTTTATAATAACTCTTATCGGCGAAATAAAATAATATTTTTTATCTAATAACTGTTATAAAACAACGTTTTCGTTGAATTTCAGAACGTTTTCAATTTGTAAATTCGAGATAACAGCTACTTTTGGCAATTGGCATTTATTCAAAGCCAATATCGAATTTGCCGAACTTAGAGGAGGTCGCCTTTTAATTTTTTTGTCATATCATCGGAATTTACGGTCGGGTCTTAAAGAAGTACATACGATGTTCTTTTCTCAAGGAGAAAATATTTTTGTTCCAAAGTTCATAGACGTCAAGTAAAAAGTTGAAAATTTAGAAGCAATTTTCCAGAATTTTTATAATTTTTGCACAAAGTTTGAAATATAAATTTATATGGTTTTTGTTAGATAATGAAGTATACTTTTATAAAAAAATAAGAAATATTAAATAGCAAGAGAACAAGTAATTTTTAGCAAAAAAAAAAAACCGACTTAAAAAAATATATACATATCTCTATATATTTCATGATCCAATGGTCGGATCTAAACCAGATTAGTATGGGACCACCTCTGAGACACTATCTTTCCGATGCAAAAAGAATTATCAAAATCGATCGACGTGGTCCAAAGTTATGCGGTAACATACATAAAAAAAAATTATCCGACGAATTGATAGGAAGCACTCCAAATTTTTTCGCTCCTTCACTGCAAGGAGCCTAACCTTCCTCCCTACAAAATCCTCGGCAACAATTTTACTAAAAGGACGAAAGCTGCGTATTCTCGTCGATGGCAAACCAATTCCGACGGTGAATAACCGGAAAATTGTTGGATCAAGCTCTCGTTCCCGGCGCATACAACCGAAATTGCCAACAAAGTACAGAGCCGTAGCAAAGTCCTCAATTCCCCAATTCGGCAGTACTTGGCCAAAGGCAAATACATACAGGGCAATTGGCCGTCCGGTTCTAAATTATGCAGCGCCTGTGTGCTCGCCGGGGACAATTGGTTCGCAGTGGACGAAACTACAGACATGCTACAATATAACACCCCGGACAACCAGGGGATGCCTTCTGATGTCGCCAGAATATCACATCCACAGTGAAGCCGAAATTCTCCCAGTAAGGGGACAACATCATTCTCAGCGTGCAGTTTCTAGTAGGGTGCTACAGATTTCAGCACTCGAACTTGCTTGAGCTAATGGACCAGGTCCAGCACTACGCACAGCACCCCTGGGACTGGGACTGTACAGACAGGCTATTAACGGCATTTACAAACTCCAGTCGAGTGAATGCCGTCATCAGGGCCAATCACCACCTGTGAACGAGAGTGAGCTTCAACTGCCACGAGATACCCGCGTAATTCTGGCCCAACTCGCCTCCCAACATCAAAAATGAGTGTCCAGCATGTGCAGATTCTCCTCATGACACCAACCACCTCTTCACATGCCCACTCCATCCAACTCAACTAACATCCCTCTCCCTCTGGTTCTACCTCATCGAAATATCAAGTTTCCTGGGCCTACCGTTAGTTGAGCCTGCGGACAATTACTGGCTAAGTAAGCCCTTACAACAATAATAACAACTGTGTCTTTTATACATTATTTTTGAGTGAAAACAGAAGACAATCATGACAAAAATCCCGACAAAATATAAAAATAATTTCAAAAATCGCGCGATTTTTTAATTATTTTTATATTTTGTCGGGATTTCTTGTCTGGATTGTGTCTTGTCGGGACTATGAATGGTCGGGATTGTGTCTTGTCGGGATTATGTATGGTCAGGATTTGGTCGTGCCTGGATTATGTCTGGTCGGATTTGGTCGTGTCTGGATTATGACTTTCAGGATTCTGTATTTCGGTATTTTGTATATCGGGATTTCATTATACACCCGAATTGATAACCTCCTCTTTTTTGTAAGTCGGTTAAAAATAGAGAAAATTTGGTAAAATGTCCTGTCCGTATTTATTTTTCCACCACTATATAAAATTAAGGAAAATTCAACATATTTTCTTCTAAATTTCGAATTTTCTCATCTGAATAAAATTCACAGGACCGTTCGCAACAAAATTTAAAAAAATCAACGACAGCTTTTATAAATTGCACTAGTTATGTAAAAAAAAACGCGAAAGCGGTCACAAAAAAAATAGAAATCAGCGCGATTTTTTAGACTCCTGAAACTTGCACTTCATTCAACTAAAACTGTCTTCGCTATAAAACTGCATACCCAAAAATGGTTTAAAGGTACAGATTACATAGCTCAAAATTTCAATGAAAATTTGTTGAGTTTGCCTAATTTTGTATGAAGTTTGACCATTTTATTTATATAGTTTTGGTTAAAGCATGGACAATATTTTTATAGAAAAAGAACAATAAAATTTCACTTGAAAATCATTGTGAGGCACTATATCTCACAGAAATTCTGTCGACCTATAATTTTTATATAAGGTCTATCATTTTCATATGAACCCCCCGATAAGCCCCTTTCCACCATATCAGCCGACTAAGGATATACTTAAAAAAAGTTTAAATTGAATGTAGTTAAACGACTAAAGTATAATAATAAAATTATAGTTTAAAAAACTAAAACCTCCCTATTATAATTGCCATTCGTACTTTCATCAGGTATGTGACTTGAGAATAGAAATCGCTGCATCTTTTAGGCGCATCAATATTACATAGTTACATCTCTAGCTAATAAAAGGAAGGTAAAAAGCAAGCAATCTCTCGTCTTTATATTCAGAACGTGTAGATATACACTTTAATTCTTTAGGTTCTGTGCTCGCACTGTGAATACCGCAACAGTGCAAATATGAATGCGCGTAAATCAGATAACAATAAATAATTCTCACGCCGCTAAAATTCTGAAATATTTATTATTAAACACTTCAATGACCAAAACAGACAAGCGACGAGCATATCTACACAGTGCCGCGCTGGCTGGAGGACGTCCACAATAGTATAGGCAGCCAGCCAGCAACAAAACCAATAATAACAACTACCATGTAATTTCCATAACGAATTTTTGCAATACATAAAACCGGTTCTAACCATAGTTTTTATTGTTTTTATACCAACATTAATTCTTAATTTAACTTTTGCTGCCGACTTCCCCCAAACGCATTCGCATTGCAAACGATGCAACTTAACTTAGTACATCACATTCATCAGCGGTGAAACTACTTACCGCTATCAATATCCGTGTTCACGTAAATTTTCGAAGCGTTTATTCAATAATTTTTCATATTTAGACGCACATTAATCAAAAGCGCATGCAAATGTCGCATCAAATCGACAGTCGTCGCAATCGTCAACGTCACCAAATGTCCGCAACACCCGCGCAACGCACACTAGCGCCTTTTGTAAGTATCGCCACCGTCACCACCACAACCATTTTTTGTTGCATTTGGCTGTTGCTCGTAAACGCGCCTGCCCCCATTCAAATGCGTCGTTTGCAACGCTGTGAACTCGCCAGTCAGCTTTATATTTTGGATGTGCCGAAATCGGAGCTAGCGCTGTGGCTGTGCATCGCCCAATATGAAAGTCGCTATAACACGCATGTGGTGGGCAATCGCAATGCGGACGGTTCCAGCGACTATGGACTGTTTCAGATCAGCGGCCGTTATTGGTGTCAGCCGGACAATGGTACCAAATATTATGCATTCAATGAGTGCAATGTCAAATGTAGCGCCTTGCTGCTGGATGACATCACCGAGGCGGTGGGGTGCGCTAGGATTATACAGCGTCGTCAGGGTTGGACTGCTTGGAGTGTGTATACGTTCTATTGTAATAGGACGCTAAGGAATGTAGATGATTGTTTTGAGTGAGAAAGTCAATGAGAAAAATAAGAAAGAATAAGAACAGAAGTATCGTATGTGTTAAAATACCCAATGTGTTCTTATATTGATGACATCAAATAAATAATATGTGTGTTCATTTAAATATTTTATGGATGTTTTTTATTAGTTATACTAGTTAGTTTTATTAGTTAGACGCCTACAAAATCGCCATATTGCGATCAGGTGCAACGCGTGCTCCGTGGGATCAAATTAGGGAGCTGAAAAGGGAAGTGGGGCGTATTTTCCGTAATACAAAGAAAGAGGTAAAAGTACGTAAGAGCGAAGGGCTTGAAGTGCTGGCTGACAGGAAAAACGCCCGAAAATGTAATGAGAAAGTTAGGCGACTTACGAAAGATTTCAAGACCAAGGCGAATTCCTGTGATTACAGCCACGACGTTCTAGTCACCGATGCTCAGAATATACTTAAATTAAGGAGGGAGTACTTTTCCACTTTGTTGAACCAGTGGAGATGAATAACCCTAGACCGTAGTCATGGACGACGGAGTCCATGTCTGACTATGACGAGATACGAATAGTAATAGTTGACGAAGATAACAAAAGCTGCAGTACTGAACCGCTCAGATAAAATTTATTACAAGAGCGTACAATTAAATACTGGCGTACGCTGATGATATCGAAGTCTTTTTTGCCTTATCGAAAATAGATAGAGTAGCAATGCGCGGGATTCTGGTGCAGTTGAGAAATACGAGTTATCGCTCGACGTACGAAAAGTACACACTCATTGTGCCCGTGGCGCAAAGCTGAACATGGACATGAACGACTACGCTGGCTTTGTAATATCGTATGAATGGACAAAAACGCTCCCCTAAAAGTATTTAACTCGGTACCCGCTTTTGGTAGCAAACGATGCCTTTTCAGCGATGGAAAGACCATGTGAAGTCGGCCAAAATCGCTTAGGCGCTTACAAAGAAGTAGAACTTCTCTCAGAAGGTTCTAGCTGTCCCAAAACGCCTGGACTCTGGGTGTGCTCTTAGGACGTACCTCGTCTTGTCATTGTTCCAACATTAGACACACCTTCGGACCTCGTCATCTATGATAGGGAATGTCGAGCTAGCGATCCAAATGCTAAGGTCAATAATGCGAAGATCATCTGCATACACCAAAAGCATAAGAGGTTTTTCTGCACGTGGTGCCGCTGCGATTTCGCTGGCTGGTTCGTAATACGCTTTCCAATATCAAATTTAAAGAAGTCTTAAAGCATGAACAGACGGCAGCGTTGATCCAGATCAACTCGGGAATTAACTGCAGTTGATCCGGATTAAGTCCGAGTTAATCCGGAACAACACTGCCGTCTGTTTAAGCTTTTACGAATTTTACAATTCTGCATAGCGATTTTAATTTTGGGAGGATCGCAAATTTACAAAGATATCGCATCATATTGATAGTTTTTTTTGTTTATTTGTTTGTAAATGTCTTCCTTCCGAGCCTAAATGTTGTATAAACCAGAGCTTTCTAAAGTGGGTTCCGCGGAACTTAAGTGTTCCGTAGCAGAGTCACCAGGGTTCCGTTGAATGATTAGTGTTATTCACCAAAGTGAGCAAGTGGCCTGGCGGTCTGGCAAAAGAGTAGATCAGCCCAAGCAACGACAGTTGACAACAGTCAATTTGGTGAATGCCACTATTAATTTTTGGCTGTTAAAATTCGGTATGAATAAGCACGGCGGTTGACAATCGGTTTGAGTTGCACACACAAAGAAAAGTTCTATAAACCAGGGCTTCGGAGCAAAGGTTTTTTTCATCGCTCCACTCCGGTATTTTATTTCGCTCCGAGCTCCGCTCTTGCTCAACTGCCGCTCCCAATAAAAAACCATATTTATTTATTTACATATCAAGCCCTAACCGATAAAAAAAAAGTTAGGCTAAATTTTTTTTGAAAATTTTCTTTTTGGTGCAGAAATGCATATAGATCAAGGGTGGCCATTTCATAGGCACGCGTGCCAAATTTTTTTCTTCTGCTTTCACACGTACACGAGAAAAACTGCGCTGGTTTCTAACATATATATGAATCAATGATGCCGACGATAATGGTTTTGCTGTGATCGTGCTCAATCGATGCGAAACTTTCAACTTTGAGATTTTGTACTCACTAGTTATGGGAAACATATGATTGTGTGAGTTTTGGCCACATCTGATGTAGATGCTCTAGGAACACTTCTGCATCCAAATGAAAATTGAAAAAATTGCCATGTTGATTAAATAGAATGGAAATTCATTTAACACGCTTGTTTTCAACGACAGATAATTATAATTTAAGTAAAATTATTAACCAAACATTTTTTTGTGGAAAACACAACAATAAAACTATTTCAAAATAAATCATTACTAGGCTAGAGAATAACAAAAACAAAATATTGAAAATTTTTCCTTAAGGAGCTAAGGAGCAAATAAATATTTGCTCCAGTTCCGTTCCAGTTAAAATCCTTTGCTCCTTTGCTCAGCTCCGCTCCGCTTCGAAGCCCTGCTATGAACAGCTTGAGTATGGTATGATTGCCGTACTGAATGCCATATCTACATATGTAAATGCCCATCTTCATAGAGCTTTCGCGTTGCGTTCGCTAGTGCTCCTACAATGAACGCTTGGCGCTAATACTTTGGCCACACATATCAATAATTGCATTTAATTAAAAGGAAAAATATTTCACATAATTTTATTTATTTGTAACAGCTGACGAGCGACGTACGCTAAAAGTTGACAGTTGGCCATCTTTCTGCTTTGTATTGGTTTTAGCGTTGCCAAATGTTGGCTACATATGTGGACGCCTGCATATGAATGCATGTCTTCATAGCCAGCTGTCGAAGCGCGGCGAACGTCAAAGCTACGCGAAAGCTGTATGCATACGGACCTTAAGAGTGTTGAACGTTGCGCTTGACAGCCAAATGACCTGGATTCGAGCCCTGGTCAAAGCAATGTCGCAAAAAAATATTGAAAAAACGTCTTTTCTTAACAGCTGTCGCCCCTTGGCAGGCAATGGCAAGCCCCCGAGTGTATTTCTGCCATGAAAACAGCTTATCATCAAATGCACCTGGAAATTTAAATAAAGAAGACTGTATAATTCTCGAGGGAATCACTCGAACACCTTCTCCGCTCGCGATTTCATTTGCCCAAATCTTCTAAAGAAAAGCAATTTCTTTTTTATTTCCGTAGCATGATAATTGAAACCAAAAGTCAATGAAGTTTCAACGAAAAAGAAACACCATAAGATCTATTGCTGGCCCCTTCGAGAGTGCTGTTCTCTCCTACAAAGCGCATTAGAACTTCCGTAAAGCAATAATTAAAATGTATTTTAGCAATTTTCTTCAAGTTTTTGCGTGGCAATGTGCGGTGTCATTAAAGTGCATGTAGAATTGCGCTGATCCGGCGTGTTCACCACCACACCACCCATACTTAATACTACTCACATGCACATAGTACATATGTATGTATGTATGTACGAGTCTGAACATACATACGTAGACACATGACGTTGTGCATGTACTCACTCGCCCTCGACTACGCCCACCTACTGTGCCCCAATGTTTTGGATCTTCGGTCTCATCTAACGTTACGCTTAGATTCAATTTGTTCTTCAAAGTGTTCATAATTCACGCAGTGGCGATCACGCAGGGTGATCGGCAGATCTGTGGTGCATCCATCTGCCTACAAATGCCACGACATGGCTCGTTTATTGAAAAGTAAAAAGTAACAATAATAAAATGAGAGTAAAAATAAAAATAAAAAAGTCACTTACTCACAAAGCGAACGCATTGAATTCTCGTATGCGCTGGAGCTGATTAGTCGGGTGAACTCTAANGTGTGACGTTGTGCATGTACTCACTCGCCCTCGACTACGCCCACCTACTGTGCCCCAATGTTTTGGCTCTTCGGTCTCATCTAACGTTACGCTTAGATTCAATTTGTTCTTCAAAGTGTTCATAATTCACGCAGTGGCGATCACGCAGGGTGATCGGCAGATCTGTGGTGCATCCATCTGCCTACAAATGCCACGACATGGCTCGTTTATTGAAAAGTAAAAAGTAACAATAATAAAATGAGAGTAAAAATAAAAATAAAAAAGTCACTTACTCACAAAGCGAACGCATTGAATTCTCGTATGCGCTGGAGCTGATTAGTCGGGTGAACTCTAATGCGGGCATGTGAGTTTATTTGTAGGCACTCGTTCGAAATTGCTTGCTCCTTGCAGCAGCTTTAACTTATAAATGCACTTGTTTGTGCTGCTGTTGGCATGTTGTTTGCATGCGTTATATTCATCGTATTTTTCCTTTTTTTGCCAATAAAACTTTAAACATTTTTTTACGTTGTTTTTTTATAGTTTATTTCCTTAATTTGATCGCTTCAAGTGGCACAGTTGTAAATTGGAAAAATATTTGCAAATTCTACATTTTCACTTTTCCATCGCATGCATTTGTATATATGCACATATCTACTTTTTGAACATACATATGTATGTATGTATGTTGTACATACAGTTGTCCACAAAATAAGAGGAGTGCGATATTTTGACCCGTTTGGGCTATTTGTCTTTTGTTTTTTTAATGTTTATTATTTTTTTATAAGAATCTAGCTGGTTATACAACGAACACCATATAAATTCAGATTTCAAACTTTGTATAATTTCGCAAATTTTCACCCAAATTTCAAACTTTCTAATCAGAATCTTTAGAAAAAATTGTGGTATGCAGTTTTGTAGCCCATTTAATTTTAGTATAAGTAAGTGCAAGTTTCAAGCTGCTAAAAAATTCCGTTGATGGTTGGCAATTTTTTTGCTGGCAGTGCCCTCCATATAAAAGAAAATTTTCGAACATACTTTGTATGGAAAAAACGTGGAACAACTTTAACAAAAAAAAATTCTCAAATATCAACGGGATTTTTTTGCAACTTGAAACTTGCACTTAATTATACTAGAATTAAATGGGCTACAAAACTGCATACCACAATTTTTTCTTAAGATTCTGATTAAAAAGTTTGAAATTTTTGTGAAATCATGCGAAATTTTTATAATTTTTGTACAAAGTTTGAAACCTGAATATAGGCGAGTAGCCAAAACTGGTCAAAATATCGCACTCCTATTATTTTGTGGACAACTGTATGTGCGAATGTTTACTAAAATTTCTAACATAGAACAATACTTGAAAATGCCTCGAAATTGAAATGCTAACGTTCTTTTTTTTCATTTGCAGCACCAGTCCGAGCACACTGAAGGATGTTACAATGGAGCATACATGTAAGTACATCTGATTTTTTGATGCAAATTTATTCTACATCCACAATGCATCACCTGGTAAAAAATTTTAGCTAAAATCCCTATAGTTATGCCAAAAATTGACTGCATATTTTAACGTATGTTATAATTGCCAAAAGAATGTCCACAAGGACTGAGTAATTTAATTTCGAGAAAAGTGTATGGCATATTCGAATTCCAACGTTCCATTCTAAGCGAAAATGGTGAACAAACTATATATAAAAAATTCGTTTTTTAAAAGAAAAATCAGTGTATTATAATTTTTTTCTGAACGAAATTAATTTTTCATCTACAAAATTTTGCATTTTCTTCATGCAATATACTGCTTTTTCTTATGAAAATTGGGAGGGTCAAACGTAATTTTAGGTATATAGTGTTCGCAATTTTTGCTTAGAATTAATAGTAGAATTTGAATTTGCTATAAACCTTCTTTGAAAATTTTGCTCCGAACAAATTGCTCCGCCCTAATGTACACCATTCAAAAAATAGCAAGTGAAAGCAGACTTAATGACAAATGAAAACAGGCTTAATGACTTTTAACGTAATGCCACAGATAAATTCTGGCAAGTCGGCGCTATTTTGATTTACGAGGATTTTTAGGATTCATAGAGCCTAACTTCCACAATGGGGGAATATAAGATGAATGAAATCGCTATTTGGGGGATATAAGATAAATTAAATCGCTATTTACTAGGTGCCAGAAAACAAATCAATTGAATGAAATGAGCGAGTTGATATGCAGGGGTAACCTTCCTCCACTTATCTACATATGTACATAAGTACAGAATTACACATGGCAATGCAATCCAACGCGAAGTCCCTTTGTCAGACATAAACATGGCCAATTTCATATTCTAATATTTTCGAGGCTGGATTGCAATCTAGTAATAGTTGGGAAACTTACACGACGTTGTCTCAAACTAGGTTTTGCGTTGGTATGCGACGAAAGAAACTCCAAAGCTCACTTACCGATCTCCTGTGTTATTGTTAAGATTTTGAAAAATCGCGACTCAGCTACTTAGTATCTGGGCTCTGGTTTCTTCTCTTCGCTGTATGAAATCGCTGGCCAAAGGACTATCAAATTGCAAAAAACTCGCTAAAATGTGCAATAGGACTAAGGTTTAAGACTAGGCATATCTTGGAAACGCTGAGGACCAACTAATAGTCTATGCGAGATCTCACCATGAGTTTGTTTTGCGACTTTTCAAAACATGGTTTTGTTAAAAGAAAATTTGATTTGAGAAAATGATATCGTTCTTCTTTATGGCGTTTCTTTAATTGAATTATCTGGATGCAGCTGTCCAAAAGTGAAAAGTGTCACTAATGTCGAAAGTGAACATTGTAATATATTGGAAACAATTGACTTTATTTCGGTTGAATTTTAATAATTAAACAGCCGCGGGGAAAGGACACCACCCTGTAGAACCCGCTGTTAGTTTTTCTTGGCTTGGACATTTTATCTCGAAAAATTACTGACGAATGTCGACCACTCATGTAATTCGGTGACCACCATTTGAGTCCCCGTAAGAGTGATGAAGCCTCAATGTCTTCTAATAGCGTCGAGTGGCTGATGGTGTCAAATGCGTGCGATAGATCCAACGCTACTAGGACTGTNTGAATTAAAAGTCTTCAAGTGCTGCTCCGCTTGTGTTGGTTTACTAGTTGCTAAATCTCCGAGTGGGAATTCGTTTGCTAGAACAACCGCTTCAACTGAAAAATTTTGGCGGCTTTCCGCAATACATCCAGCGGGAATGAAGCTGTGTGGTACCATGGTCATTTGGCATCCGCGTCTGAAAAATTAAATATAAGTTAGATGGACGAAAGCAACATCGCCGCCAGAGAGTGCCAAAATGTACCCGCACCAATTGCAAAAGCCTTTATAAATTTTACGGGCATCATCTAAGGATAAACCGCACTGCTATCTTTACAATTCTCGTCTTGATTGGAGAAGCCGTTTTATGCATTGACAAAACATTTTACGTTTTAAATCTTGAGTTTGGCTTGATTAGCCGGCAGAAGAGTTATTACCGTATTTTCAGACAGCTAAGCGGCTTATGGTTTGGAGCTATCCCAATCAAAATTTGGACCAAAGACCATACTTCCTACGTATTATTATTATTTTGAAATGCCTCACACTATAGCGCACTTTGCAACTATAGCACTTCAACAAAGCCATAAAACCCGAATTCTTCTTATTTGACGCCGATTGGAAATGCCAAGTGAAGCCAAGTCCTTCTCCACTTGGCCTTTCCATTGCGGTGGGGGTCTCCCTCTTCCTCTGCTACCGCCGATCCTGTCCCCACTCTGGTGCACAGATTTTCGTTCTAAATTCTAAAACCAATAGCGGTCCTAAGATTTCACCTCAATATGTCGGTAGCATAGAAACTCCTTAAAACACCCTATATTTCGTTTCTTCCTACCTACATATTTCACTGATCTTTCGCAGTAGGTACGTAAAAATGTGAAATATTTTTGACTTTGGCTTGAAGTTGAAAATTAGTTTTGAATTGTGTAAAAAAAGAAATATAAAGAAGCTTAAAAATCATACTTTCAAAACTAAATTGATCAACTAATTAACACAAATTTTCCAACTAATTGAAATAAACTCCGTTTTGGGACCACTATCAACACAACAACAATACAGCACACACACAATAGCAGCAGCCACAACTACAGACACATAATAAAGCCAAACGAAATAGTGAAATATAGTGAAAAATAAAAATATACCGTTAGAAGAAATTTATTAAAAGCAACACCAAACGCCATGCGTCGAAGTGGATCCAGCATTGGTAGCTCACAAGACTCCAAAGAAAAGTTAATGGTTTTTAAGCGCAACTCACACTCACAGTCGCCACTAAGCGAAACGAATATGAGTGCGGATGGTAAAAGACGAGTTAATGAGCTTAAGCTGAGATTCATAAATGAGACTTAACGTTATAGGATTACATAAAATACACAAACTAAATAGATTACTACTTTAGTTAACCGGTCGCTTAAATATTAATTTTCAATCTTTCGTTTTTCTTTTATTTCTCATACAGATGGTGTGGGCTTTCCATGTGTCAGCTTGCAGGGACATGGCACGACATCGCCACCTGTACAAGGACGTTCAGTGCGCGAATTCGAGGAGCAAATGGCATCGCTACGTAAGGAGAATTTTAATCTAAAGTTACGTTTATATTTTCTGGAGGAAAGTGTGCCAGGTTATCATCACCCGAACACAGAGGGACAGGAGTCGTTAATGAAGCAGCTAATTGATACGAAGGCAAGGAAATAAAAAAATGCGTACTGTAATTTCCTTTTTGAACAAACTCTTTTTCTTCGCACAGGTTGAAATTGAAATTTTGCGTAAGGAGCTTGAAGAGAAACAGGATTTATTGAAGGAAGCCGCGCAGGCCATGAATCACATGGAACAGATACAAAAAGAGACTGAGGCTAAGGGTCAAGCATTTATAGATGAACTAAAGCAGAAGATACAATTTTTGGAGGTGAGAAAAAATGTGAAAAAAACGCAAATTTATTTATTTATGTTACTTATTCGAAAAGAAGCGTGATAAATTAAAAGAAAAAACAAAAAACGAAAAAGGCGGGTAATATTCACATGCAATACAATAATGACTAAAATTATACGTAAATCTTGAGATTTTAATTTTTGGAAAAATTTTATTATTAGAAGTGTTTACGAAATCTGTTGAAAGGCTTTGTAATATGGAAAAAGAAATTGAATAAAACATTTAATTTAAGAAAAATTAACTTAAGACCGGCAAAAATGTTAAAGAGACATTATATAGGCTTTGAATATGTTTGTGGCCCGTTGTGGCGTTTTTAAACTCCAATTTCTTTCAAATATAACTTGTGTTTTTACTAGTCTACACAAATTAAAGGAAAAATAGTTAAAATTAAAGATGATATAACAAGAGGTTGATATGTGCTAAAAACTAGTCACATTAAAGAAAATGCACTAAAGTTATTTAAACGTTTAATTAGCTATATTTTAAAATTCGTTAGATTTTAAATCGGCAATTTTTTTTTTTGAGAAGCACTTTTATATAACAAATCATGAAACTCACCTAACAACTAACATACCGATACGATTTCTTCTTCTTTTTTTGCCTATATTTCTAACAACTAAAACTAGAATCTAAGCCACAAGAAACTTTTAATTTTATCTAAAGAAAAACAAATTAATTTCGTAAATACCAGTAAAAAAAACTTTTCAACTACTTACATAGCTTCTAATTAAATCCGAATGATATAATAATTCTCCTAAGTAAAAAAAATCGCTTTCATTTCCCTCCCTATCTTCACAGATGGAACGCGATTTGGATAAAACTCATCACAGCGGTTTTATGAATGATTTGCTTGGCCGTTCAGATATCTCGGAAAATGTGAATGCTTTACAAAAAGTTTGTATAATTTTACTTAATTTATTACTGCGCATACTTTAATAAAATATAAAAATCACTAAAATCTCAAATTATTATCTTTTCTTTTCTCACTCCATCTCTAATTTGTTGGCAATCCCCGCTTTCTTTGCTCTATGTATTATGCCACTTAAATGAACCCGTAGATACGCGAACTCGAGGGCATGGTGACACAGTCCGAGGAGAAAATGCATTCGTTACAATCACAAGTCACGAAATTAGAAGAAATCATAGCAAAACGTGATGAGACAATCAAGGAGTATGAGGAAAAAGTAAAAGAGTTGGCCTTTCAAAATGCTGAGCTGCTGGAAATGATGGAGAACAAGAAAAAGATATGGCAAATGTAGAGGTGAGTTCTTATACAAATAGCATTGCTACATTTAAGCATTCATTTAGGCATAGTTGCGATAAATTTTACGTTGCATTCGAGATGTTCACAGAAGTAAGCATAGAAATAGTATTTAGTATTATATGAAAATTCGTATTTAAACACGAAACGTTGCAAGCTTTTTATCGCATACTTGCGCGTGTTTCCAAGTAAATGTTTGTCCACTAAACAATTATTTTATAATTTCCTTCAACCCTACTCTCCCTCCCACCCATCTTATTTTTTTCGTTATCTTTCCATTTATTACATTTATTCGCGCAATTCGCGTTAAAGCTTAATTTGAAAAGTCTTCGTCTGACCAATGCCGATTTGAAGGAAGATAATCACAATTTAATTGAAGCTCTAAAAGCCACACAAGATAATTTCCGCAAAGAATTTTCGAATGTGAAAGTATGTGAAAAGAGAATGCGTGAACAACAGGATGCATTAAGCAAAATGCAAGTAAGTTTTTTTTTGTCGCAGTTGCGAGCCTTTTAATGATTAGCTAGAAATTCGTAGTTGAAGTAGACTAAGTTGCGGTTGGTAGATAGTATACGACACAGCTATTTTGGATTTCAAAACGGGTCGGAATTATATGCAGTTAAGACTGTTCTCCCAGCAGCGTTCCTCAGGATTCTCATAGGAAACATTTTATGCTGCTGAGAGGGACCTACAGTTTTACGCCGACTACGATCGATCGATTTTTGGATGGCCTCAGTAATAATAATTTTAACTTAATAATTAAAGAGCACAACAACACTTTCGCCCCAGTGAGAAAACCGTCTTAGTGACATCTGATTTGTCGAAAGGCTACCTCGCCTTTTGTCATTCTACGCTACTAAAATTCTCGTGAGTTGTCGACAGTTAGTACGCATTCTGATCAAACTTCGAAGGCATGGTGAATTAAAAAGGTGGTCCCACAAGTTGATGTCCACTCTCCACTACTGTTTAACTTTTTTTACTATTTCCAAACTTCTCAGCGCTGGAGGCAGTTTCACTGATCTCATACGCTGACGACGGCTCGATATTGACGTCCGGTAATTGTATATCTCTAATATTTCTCGCTTCTTCGCGACATGGAGGCTTGGTCTATCCTCCACAAAATCAACGACGACGCTTTTCACACATCTAGAAATTTTAGAGGTTATCTTTAACATCTTGCTTTCCTTTTTCGCACACGCAACAACAATTGTCAAACAACAGACCGCCAGACAAAAACATAAAACCGCAGCTACAATGCCACTCATAATGGTGCAAAGAGCAAGTAAGTCTTGGTCGGCTGTTTCCACAGGGAATATCCGAACAATCACTTGCTGGAAGTAGCCTAGACTAGGTACACATAGAAGAAGGTATCTCTACGAACTATCGTGCGGGCTCCAGGCATATGTACATGGCACAACCACTGCACATGATGTTGTACAGGCAGTCAGTAAATGAAATTCACCGAGAGATAATCACCACTTTTACTCACCCTCGCACCTTGAATGCCGTTGTCGGAGTTCAACCACCCCACGCAGATGAAGATTTTCAGATGCCGTGAGGGACTCTGCCGAAAAAAAACGATCTAGCTGCTATAGTAGGTTAAACTTCTATTTTTCAGACTCGATCCCGACATGCCCCGTATGTGAAGGTAACCTTTTTAAACCGGCTCTGGTAACATCGCTTTCCTCGTTGCCTCGCCAGTCGGGTCTACGTAACCGGAACGACCCAGATTTGCATCTGGCCAAGGACTGTCAGTCTTGGGGATTTGTATGCTGCTCCAACAACAACAACAACAACAACATTCCTTCCTTTTGGTCCGACTCTGTCGAAACTGCACTTTTTCTGGGCCTACCGCTAGTTGGGCTTGGTGATAACGGTTGATAGGCAGCCGAATTTGGGGTCTAGTGGTGCCGCTACAACAGCGTATCACAGATAGATACAGAGTTGCCCACTTGCATTTTGTTTAGGCAAGCACAACACTGAGAACTGGTATTAAACTATAGGTGTTTCACTTTTATTACCCGGAAACATCGTTAAATTAAGATATAAAAAAATTACAAAATTAATAAGTTTATTCTAAAGCAACTCTTCATTCCTTCCTAGGCTCAGAAGTGATACTCTGCATAAAATTCTTTACAATTCGTATATGTAAACAGTGTATTAGTAAAAAATTATTTACACATATATACAAACGAAAAAGTGTCACAAAATCGGCAAATATTTTTTCAGTACAAAGGTTTACAGTAAAGCTTCAAAAGTAGTTTTGCGATGTAGAATTTTTCGGTTTCGCTAAAATGTATGTTTTTTGAAATTTTGAATTTATTCTCGCTGTTCCGCGTTCAATGGTCATTTAATTTTTCATATCCTCTTCCAAACCTCTCTTATTCTGATCCCTTCTCTTCTATTACCTGCACCTCAACATACCAGTCCACAATTTCTATTAAGACAGCAAATACCGCACGTCTACTTGAACGCATTCAAGACTACGAAAAAATGGTAACCAAAATGAGTTTCGAACGTAATTTAGCCAAACGAGAGAATCGCTTCTTTCGTGCCATTATTGGCAAACTACAGCGCAGCAAGAATGAGTGTTTCACCATCGAGAAGAAGGAGGTCTATCAGCAATATGCGCACGAGTTCGACGAGAAGCCAGTCGATTGTAACAAACATTACGAAATGAACTATCGCGACATGTTGAAGGCGCGCGGCGATTTTCAAGGTGAATATTTGCTCAAACAGAAACTGTGCGTTAATTACAGCAACACCAGCGCCAAGTACACAAAAGTAGAGAAGTGTGAGCACAGCGAGCCAGAAAGTAACGCTGTTGTGAAGCGGTGTTACTTGCACGAGGGCGTCAACCGCCATAGGTGCGGCAGTGTTGGTATTAGCTCTGGTGATGCTGGTCGCACCGGCGTTGCATGCAAAGAGCTGGTCTGCAGCGATCATGAGCCAGAGTTTCCAATACGCTACACAATCAATGATGAGAGCATGTTTGCGGGCTATGGTGGCGGCGGCTGTGGTGGGCCATGTACTTCGCGATCCAATAGTTGCACTTCGTTGCAGGCAAATTTTTCCACGTCCAGTATATTTTGTGGTGGCAAAGAAACGTCACCCGATGGGGAGCGGGAATGTACGCAGGTGAGAGGGCTTGTTAGTTAAGAGTGGAGCGCGCGGTTGTATATTTGAATTGTACAATTTTTGAAAAATTTTTTTTAGAACAATCGACCCCACCAACTCACCAATGTGGATGGCGGCGTACGCTTTGTATACTCAAAATTTGGAAATTTTCATTAAATCTAGCCTATTATTACGCGTCATTTCACACGCTGTATCTAAATATTGGACAGGTGTCACAGTTCAAAAGCGTGCATATACCTTTTCTGAGGAGTTACTCTCTAAATGTTGATCAAAATTGTTTACGCTACCAGTGGGGGCGTATGCTGAGCGGATTAAAAGGACAAAGGAAATTGTGAGAAGTGAGCGAAAGCAAGCGGGAGTGCGCAAATGGTGGTTTTTGTATTATGCATTTATTGTGTACCTTGTGAGATAATATCCGATTTGCAAATTGAAAATAGTTTATATAATTATATATATTTATGTGTGCATTTTACGACAGAATTTACATTTGAGCTTAGTACACATGTATGCACTACATATATTTTTGTAAAAAAATTGTTATTTGTGATTTTTTTAAGCCATGAAACTATGAATAAATTAAAATTTTTTACTCTTCTAAGATCAACTCGAATGCAATGCGAACGTACCGTTTTTTTTTAGTAATATTCACTTGAGGCAAGTCTCTTATTGTTAATAAGTTTTTTTTTTGTATTTCCTCGCGTGCAGCGCGAACTAAAGGAGAAAAAGGTCGAACTGGCTAATAAGCTTTGTGAACTGGACGATACTCAGCAAGAGTTGAAGAAGTTGCGCAAAAGCTATGATACCGCCTGTCGCACATTACAACAACTACTGCAACGCGAGAAAAATCAGCAGGATGGTGCCGGCAATCGCGCCTTAAGTGACTCAGAGGCTTTACAAAATCACGTACAAAAATGCGATCATGAGAATACGATTAAGAGTCTGGAAGCCGAAGTAAAGAAGAAGACTGCTGCTTTACAGGTATTATTTTTTGTATATTTTTAGCACGAGGCTTGCTAGAAAAAAATAGGAAGTTCAAAGTTATTGTCGGACTCCTCTTTAACAAAGTCTTTTATAGCGAAAACTCCAGTGTTTCGTAGTTTTTAAAAGTACTGAATTTTCTTCAGATTTTTCAGTCATTTCGACCTATGTTTAGCGAATTCCTCGCTCTAACCAAACTTCTTCAAAGATTCAACGTTTGGTTGTGACGGCAAAAAGCTATTTTTTTAGCTCCTTTATACCGGGCGCTCCTCTTACTATAACGAACTGTTTGGCTGGCTGCTACGACTTCGTTACAGAGTCCGACTGTAAATAGATAAAATATTTAGGTTCTTAACCCGTTTATAAGGTAACCACCTTAAATACTGTTCAATCGAGACATTTGATGGTGGTTGGGATGACAAAGCCACTCTCAGCTCAGTGTAGAGTCAAGTGTAGTCTATTTCAATGCACTGAAATTTATTTCAGTTCAATTGTAGAGTATCCCGTTCCGTTACATGGATCCAAGATTTATAGGTATCTTTAAGATGGATTTAGAATGAAAAAATTCCAGAGCAAAAATAATTTTGTTTCATACATTTTTAAATAGGTTCGCTTTCTCTTTATCTCACTCTCTTTCTCTTTTCACGCTCTTACTGTCTTTTATCTCTTCCTTTGCTCTTTCCATCGTTTCTGACTCTCTATTACCTCTCTGATTCTCTCTCTCTTCATCTTCATGTCTTTGCCCTTCTTACTACTTTTTCTCTTTTTCCTTTTGCCTTTCGTACTCTCTTTTCTTTTTCAATGCTTTCATCTTTATTTTTCTGTATTTTTATTTCTTTCTCTTTCCGCCCATTTCTCTTCCCTTTCATCAATCTTCTTGTGCCCTCCCCTCTTGCTCTTTTTTCTTTTTTCCTCCCCTCGTTCTATTATACTTCTGCTTTCTCTTTTTACGTACTTCTTATTGTGTTATTTCTCTTTGACTCTTCTACACTCCAACTTTTTTCCTGACTCTTTTCACTCGTGTTCCTTTTCTTTCCTTCTATTTATATGGTCTCTCTTCCATCTATTTCCTTATTTATATGTATCTCCCGTTATCGGTTCGTTTTTTTTTCTAACGCTTTTCTTTTCTCATTTTTTATTTCTCGTTCCTTCATGCCTTTTCTCTAATGTTATCCCACCCCTCATTTATCATTCTATTCTTATGCTTCTAATTTTATTTTCTCATTTCCTTTTTTTGTAATCGTCCTCTCATTTCGCTCTATTTTTCTCTCGTCGTATACATTTTGTTTGTTACCGCTGTGCGCTTTTTCATGACTCCTTATCTCTTCTCTCCTTCCGATTCTCACCAGAATCTGGTCAATAATGAGCTTTGGCAAAAGAATCGTGAAATCGAACGCCTCACCAAATTAGTCAACGCAAACGCTACATCTCCCCTTTCGCCGACAACAGCACGCAAAAATTTAGAGTCTCTCCAACTACACCAATCCTTCACTGAGAGTGACTACACAAAAGCATTGGAGCATAATAAACTGCTGCAACGCAAAGTGGACGTGCTGAATCAGCGTCTCGTCAACGAACGCACCCATGAGGCTTTGATCGAACAGCTGCGCCAAGAGGCGCGCACAGCACGCGCCGAAGCTGACAATGCCGAGACATGCCGACACGCATATGCCAAAGTCTTTGCCGCTCTATCGGATCGTCTCTACGAGTTAGCAGGATTCCTTAACTCCCTAATGAAAAACAAGGAGGTGTTGAGCTTCCTGTCGACCGAACGTCGCCGCGCCATGCGTACCGCTGTAGACTGCAGCCTCGATTTGTCTACGAGCATACGCGAGACGTTGACCACAGGCGATCAAAGCTTCGAAGGTTTAAGCAATTTATCACGGCTGCTGCTGGACGAAGAGGAGGGCGCTTTGGCCAATAAGACATTTAATTCGCACGAACATATGCGTGCCCGCCACTCGTTCGATGTGTTGCGCTCGGAGAATAAGGCTTTGCGCAAGATACTCGACAGCCGGCGCAGTTGTGGCGGCGCAGATTATGCAAAAGATTCCAAGGATCGCCGCTCGTTGCCGCCATTCTTGCTGGATAATTTGAGTGAATCTGAAGCGTGGTCGGAACCGGATAGGCAAGTGTCGATGGCGCGCATCGGACTGGAGGAGCTTGTGGCAGCAGGCACTGGCGCGGCCGCGAAGGATTCGGCCACCAAACCAGCGCCACCAACGGCCGACACAGATAGCGAGAGCGAAAGTGATGCGTTACAGCAGAGTCGCGCAATGAAGTTGCGCAATCAGGAGCGCATAGCACAGCTCGAGAAGCTCATTGCACAGCGCGATGACCGCATTCTGATGATACAATTCCAATTAGTGGAAGCAGACAATAACTTGAAGAAAGAAACACTGCGCGCCATAGCGCTGACGCAAGAGGTGGAGCAGCTGCAGCAGCGCAATGAAGAACTCTTATCAGATCTAATTGCTATTGGCAGCGAGCAATCAAGAGACAATACCACTGCGTCCGAGAGCGCCCTGCTCAACAGGTCATTGATGCAACGGCAAATCGAGGAAAAATGTCACGCCATCGAACAGTTGCAAGGGGAGCGCGATCGCCTCGCGGTGGAGGCGCGGCTGGCCGAAGTGCAAGTGGGCGCGCTGAAGGCTGATATCGAAGACATCAAACAGAAGTACGAGATACAGCTGAAATTAGCCAGCGAAAAAGAGCGCCAGCACTTGGATACACTTAAAAACGAATTGGAGCAGCTAATGCAAAAGCGCTTGAAGGAGCAGGAGCGCGTGCACTCGGAGGCACTGACCCGCGAATGGATTGCGCGCACGACATACGACGAGTGCAGAGCGCAGTTAACCGAGCTGCAAACGCAGTACATAGAGGCCCAACGCACTATCGACTATCTGACAGACAGCGAGCAGGATCTCAAGCAATCGTTGATAAACAGCGAAATGGAGGTGCGTGGACTGAAGAAGCAGTTGGACGAAAGCGTGCTGCAAGCATCCAAAGTGGTTACGGAACGCACAAAACTATGTAATGAGAAATTGCAGTTAGAGAAACGTTTGCTGGAGTTACAGCATCAGTTGAGCGCCGCCGAAATGCAACATGCGGCCACAACACAACGCGTCACAGAACTTGAACGCTTGCAACAAACATTAAGCGAGCAATTGGCGCAAGCGCAAGCAGCGGCAGTTAAGCGCCTGGATGCCAACGATATGTCACAAGTGGGCGGCTATGCTTCGGACGATGTGCAAAAGTCGAGTGCGAAGCGCGATAGCAATTCCTCGCCTGATTTGGGTATACACAGTGATACAGGCCGCGTTTCCAGCGTGGAATTGTCGAACGTACAACGCTCGCTACTCAAAACTGTGCCAATGCCAGAAGACGGTGAGCTGGCGTCCAATGAAGGTGAGTGGCGACTAAAATTTGTTATAAAAAAATAAAAATATTTCGTAATTTAATAATCACATCTTACAGAATCTAAATACAGCTTGGTGGATAAGAGTAACATGGCTGGCAAGTGCGCGCAACATAGCTCATCTTCCGACTTGGGCATTGACAGTGATCCGGGACGCAAGTTGTCCCGTGCGGATGTTAAAAAGGGTAAGTAAGGCATGCATTTTTGATGTAAAGCATAAGGGTTTAGTTAGAGAAAACTTGGTTGTGGTATTAACATTTGTAATATATGTAAGGCCCGTTAATCAGCTGTAAACTTACAGTGCTATACAGAATAAAATCTGCAGATCAGTGTCAATACAAAATACAAAATACAAATAGGCTTATGAGTACGAAAACGGGCGCAAATACTAATGTGAACAGGAACAATATAACGGCAATGGCGTCTATATATCGATACCTTTCAACGATACACGAATCGATAACTATATTAATAATTAAATCCATAACTTATCGATAACTATGTACATATCGTCGCCTGGGTAAAAGATTGTCGTATGTTATGCACGTACGTATGACGTTTACGACAATATTTTACCCAGACGACGATATGCGTACGTAAATATTTATTATGTATACATTTCGATAAAGCTATCGACGAATTCCTCGATAATTTCACTGGTAAATTTTTCGATAACTACATTTGTCAACCGATTATCAAAAATAACTTGCATTTAATTTTTTCATTTAATTCATGAGTTAATGAATGAAAAATGTAAGACGAAAGAAATTTAGTAAACATTACCATAAAAAAAAAAAGTTCCTAAAAGTATCGAAAAAACCCCAAAACAGAAAGAAAACCGAAAAATAAAACTCAAAAAAACACGAAAATATTAGCTTCCGGCAAATTCCGAAAAGCAAGAAAACAAAGTACCGAAAAGTTCCCAAATAATCTAAAAAAAAAAAAATTCACGACCATCCCTTAAAATAGGAGGGTTGTCGTTTAAATATAAAAAACCGGGTATTACCCAAATTAATAAAAGTTGTAATGCAAAAATAAATACACATTTGTGTATTAATTTCATATTTGCTTTTTAAGCAAACATGTTTTTCCCGAAGTTCTAGTGATTTTTTTACAAAAACATCGAAAAAAATTGCGATNTGGTATTAACATTTGTAATATATGTAAGGCCCGTTAATCAGCTGTAAACTTACAGTGCTATACAGAATAAAATCTGCAGATCAGTGTCAATACAAAATACAAAATACAAATAGGCTTATGAGTACGAAAACGGGCGCAAATACTAATGTGAACAGGAACAATATAACGGCAATGGCGTCTATATATCGATACCTTTCAACGATACACGAATCGATAACTATATTAATAATTAAATCCATAACTTATCGATAACTATGTACATATCGTCGCCTGGGTAAAAGATTGTCGTATGTTATGCACGTACGTATGACGTTTACGACAATATTTTACCCAGACGACGATATGCGTACGTAAATATTTATTATGTATACATTTCGATAAAGCTATCGACGAATTCCTCGATAATTTCACTGGTAAATTTTTCGATAACTACATTTGTCAACCGATTATCAAAAATAATTTGCATTTAATTTTTTCATTTAATTCATGAGTTAATGAATGAAAAATGTAAGACGAAAGAAATTTAGTAAACATTACCATAAAAAAAAAAGTTCCTAAAAGTATCGAAAAAACCCCAAAAAAGGAAGAAAAACGAAAAGTAAAACTCGAAAAAACACGAAAATATTAGCTCCCGGCAAATTCCGAAAAGCAAGAAAACAAAGTACCGAAAAGTTTCCAAAAAATCTAAAAAAAAAAAAAAANACGACCATCCCTAAAAATAGGAGGGTTGTCGTTTAAATATAAAAAACCGGGTATTACCCAAATTAATAAAAGTTGTAATGCAAAAATAAATACACATTTGTGTATTAATTTCATATTTGCTTTTTAAGCAAACATGTTTTTCCCGAAGTTCTAGTGATTTTTTTACAAAAACATCGAAAAAAATTGCGACATATTTATTGATAACAAAATCGCTGGCGATATTGGTAAATATATCGATAATTATGCTGATAACGGTATCGATACACATAATAAGTAAGTGTGGTGAATGATATTTGTATTAAGCAAACAAATATATTCCACATATGTATGACGATATCGATAAATAGCAGGGCTGCAAGTCGGGTTTGAAATACCAAAACCGAACCGGTTCAAAATCGAAATCCACTTGAGCATTTTACAAGTTTTGTAACCCTTATGATAAAACTGCTGAAATTTTTTTGTTTGATAATTTTCGATTTATAAAGCATTTAAAATCTTCTTTATTTANTATATTTATTGATACCAAAATCGCTGGCGATATTGGTAAATATATCGATAATTATGCTGATAACGGTATCGATACACATAATAAGTAAGTGTGGTGAATGTTATTTGTATTAAGCAAACAAATATATTCCACATATGTATGACGATATCGATAAATAGCAGGGCTGCAAGTCGGGTTTGAAATACCAAAACCGAACCGGTTCAAAATCGAAATCTACTTGAGCATTTTACAAGTTTTGTAACCCTTATGATAAAACTGCTGAAATTTTTTTGTTTGATAATTTTCGATTTATAAAGCATTTAAAATCTTCTTTATTTATTATGAAACTGGAAGTTAGTAATTCAAAAATGTAACTGTTTGTGCTAAGCACGCTTCCCTTCTTTGCTAAATCCTAATAAAATTTTATTTATTTGATTTCCGTTCCTATTCTCCATTCCAATACAGAATCTCCAACCCGCACAGATACCGACGACAGCAACACGGAAAATAAGATGAGTGTGGCCAATGTAAATAGCCGTCCCTCCGCCACTGCCGCTGCCTCCACAACTGCCGGCGGCACAGTGCCAATTCACGACTGCATCAAGGTANCGCTAAGCGGGAAGCGTGCTTTGCTAAATCCTAATAAAATTTTATTTATTTGATTTCCGTTCCTATTCTCCATTCCAATACAGAATCTCCAACCCGCACAGATACCGACGACAGCAACACGGAAAATAAGATGAGTGTGGCCAATGTAAATAGCCGTCCCTCCGCCACTGCCGCTGCCTCCACAACTGCCGGCGGCACAGTGCCAATTCACGACTGCATCAAGGTAGAACAAGAAAATACCGAATTACGACGCAAGCTCGTACAAACGAAGCGCGCATTCGAGGAGACTTACAAAAAGTTGCACTATTCAAATAAGCGCAAAGAGAGCTTTGAGAAAGAGGTCAAAGAGCAAATACTAAAAACGAAAAACACACTCAAATATGCGCGCTTCCATATGGCTCAAGTGCAGCAACCTAACGCACAACATCCCCATCATCATCATCATCAGGAGGAGCAAGTGCAATCATCATCAATGCACCAGGCACCTCAGCAACCACAACAAACACATGAGCAACAACAACAACAACGTAATATAACAAGTGCTGGTGTTAGCACATCTAAATCAAGTAGTGATGCACTTCATTAAAAGACTAAATCAAAGGAAGCACAAAAGCGNTCAGGAGGAGCAAGTGCAATCATCATCAATGCACCAGGCACCTCAGCAACCACAAAAAACACATGAGCAACAACAACAACAACAACGTAATATAACTAGTGCTGGTGTTAGCACATCTAAATCCAGTAGTGATGCACTTCATTAAAAGACTAAATCAAAGGAAGCACAAAAGCGAGAAAAATCAGCGCGCACAAAATCGGCGAGCACTTGCACGACGAACGCACAAATGTTCATTCGTTGCTAACATGCACAAGGCTAAATATATTAATTTTTGAAGAAAAGCGCTAGTTATAATTAATTAACTAATTACTTAGCTTAGATTAAAGTCATATTTTAGAACCTAAGCACTTTTTACATAAAGACATTTATTTGTAATCATTTTATTCACTTGCTATATATCTATATTTGTATGTTTGTATTTGCGTTATGAGAACTTGTTGAATGTAGTACAACCACGTTGTTCAAGCATAATTTGCTTATCTAACTTTAAGTGATGCAACTGTTTATTTTCATTCATATAAATATGCTGCATATGTAAATTAACTGAATATCCTCACGAAATCAGATGCTAATTATAGCGGCTCATTAGTCTAGTAAACCCATAAGGTTTTCATTACTTTTTTCATTTACAATTAGTTTTAAATTACAGATATTATACTAACTTTATGAAATACTTTTTATGCATGCTCTATCAAACATACATATTCATATGCCAAGACTAAAAAAAAACAAAAAAATTACCAACACGCATGCCAGTGCCATTTTCGCCCAACACATTCATATACATATTTTACTAAAAAGGCCATAATTTGTTAACAGTTAATTAAAAAAATATAGAAACCCAAGTACTATGGTCAGGGGTCAAAGGCTTGCAACAAAAAAACTAACCTCATGTCTAAGGCCAGTTTTTTGTTTGTTACTTTCGATGTAGTTTTTACTTGAAATATGAACATAATATTGACAACTTGTAATAAATAGTCATTTAAACTATAAGTTAAGTTTGTTTACGGTCTCTTCTAGAAGACTTAAATACAAAATATAAGTAATGTTATGCCACAAAATGAGTTGAAGCAGATTTTCATTTTGTTCACTTTTTCGTTTTTATTTAATTTAACTTTTTTGCTTGACGTCCGCACAAATCTTTGCCAAGCAAAATACTGTTNCAAAAAAATTACCATTGCCAGTGCCATTTTCGCCCAACACATTCATATACATATTTTACTAAAAAAGGCCATAATTTGTTAACAGTTAATTAAAAAATTATAGAAACCCAAGTACTATGGTCAGGGGTCCAAGGCTTGCAACAAAATAACTAACCTCATGTCTAAAGCCAGTTTTTTGTTTGTTACTTTCGATGTAGTTTTTACTTGAAATATGAACATAATATTGATAACTTGTAATAAATAGTCATTTAAACTATAAGTTAAGTTTGTTTACGGTCTCTTCTAGAAGACTTAAATACAAAATATATGTAATGTTATGCCACAAAATGAGTTGAAGCAGATTTTCATTTTGTTCACTTTTTCGTTTTTATTTAATTTAACTTTTTTGCTTGACGTCCGCACAAATCTTTGCCAAGCAAAATACTGTTATTTTTAGCAGAATTATAAAATTCTTTATCAGGCGCACAAAATTGCACAGTAATAACTCGCATGTTTCTTTACAATTCACACATACAGATTTTGCTAGATAATTACTCAGCAACAGGCTAATCTGCTTTTAAGGATTTTAATTAAACAAGAAAAGATTCGGGCGAAACCGAACTTCATATACCTAGTGTGCGTAAAATGTATATTTTATCGAACACTGCTTAGAATTGCCGTTATATAGAAACTGGGCATAGGTATTGTCCGATTTCAAAAATTTACATTTTTTTAGTGAAAAAAATAGTCAATGTGTTCATCAGTTTTTGGAAGCATCGATAAGACGTTACTGGAATACACATATTTTAAATGAGTGCGAAGTACCACGCATATTTTTTAATAAGAAGTTTTTTGCTAAAAGTTTCCTCTTTTTCACTATATAGCGAAAGATTGGAGTGTTTTCATTTTCCAAAAATACCGTCATATGAGAGGTATGCCGAGAGAGTGTCCGATTTCATGCACTTTAAGTCTTGGTTAATGACCAAGGTTTGGAGAAATCAGTAAAGCGCTTACTGAGCTACCATGATCAGGTGGTGCCACGCCCATTTTCCAAAATCTTAAAAACTCAATTTTATTTAAATGTTAGATAATTTAGCTTCTTTGTTTCATCCAAGGAGCTACGCCTCGCCTCATACTCCGATTAGTGGTACATCTCGACAATGTCCTGAAAGCACTTTGCCAATCAATTAACAGTTACCTCAGTACTCTCAACTCAATGGCAGCCAATTTGGGCGATAAATGCTGCTTAAACATGAGTCTTAGTTTGGCAACTGCCTTTTCGGACGTGGCCTTTTCATTGCCAAATCGTCCCTATATTTAATTTCTTCGTTTAACCAACAATCCAAAAATTTGTATAATTTTCTCCTATTTACGCTTCTCAAATCGTAAGTACTTAGATTACGAGATTTGATATTTATCAGCCTCATCGCGAGTATCGTGTCGAATTCAAGGCGTTTTTTCGAGAGTCGAGTCGTTTCGAGAAGTACGTGACATTGCCTAAAAATTCGATTCGACTAGTGTATTAAAATGGGAAACTTGGCATCACTGGATAGTTTTCGGCAGTTTCCGTCGTCTACATATTTCAGCATGNCTCAATGGCAGCCAATTTGGGCGATAAATGCTGCTTAAACAGGAGTCTTAGTTTGGCAACTGCCTTTTCGGACGTGGCCTTTTCATTGCCAAATCGTCTCCTATATTTAATTTCTTCGTTTAACCAACAATCCAAAAATTTATATAATTTTCTCCTATTTACGCTTCTCAAATCGTAAGTGCTTAGATTACGAGATTTGATATTTATCAGCCTCATCGCGAGTATCGTGTCGAATGCATGGCGATTTTCGAGAGTCGAGTCGTTTCGAGAAGTACGTGACATTGCCTAAAAATTCGATTCGACTAGTGTATTAAAATGGGAAACTTGGCATCACTGGATAGTTTTCGGCAGTTTCCGTCGTCTACATATTTCAGCATGACAATAGGCAATGCCAATGTTGTCGAGTCATGTATTTTAGTCTAATGCATGCAATGAGGCTGTAGATTTCTGGCCTAACAAGGGAAAAATTAGCATTGGGGTTGAAAACAGTTTTATTGTTTTTCAAAATATTCTCCATGATGATCAATACACTTTTGAATAGTTTTAGCATTTTCTTACATCGATCGAAACGAGCCTCTTTTTTTTTAATATGTGTGGGAACCAAAGCGAACACACCTTGTTACCACAAGGAGATCATACAAAATATTATTGATGTTCGTTGTACTAATGTCCAATGATTCCTCATAGCTAGTTTCACGAAAGCAATTTAAGTGAAAAATGATTTTTTATTTGAGTTTAATACGGAAACTGACAGAAAAAAAATATATCGTGAAACCGGCAGTCTCTCAACGCTTGTAACATGAAGGATCTTGCTCAATCATTTCGCTCACAGCATCGATGTCGTCTGGCACAAATGGCTTCGAATCGTCACATACGATTTCGTATTACTTGTCACGTAAAAACACATTTTTCGGCTTACGACATACGTGAACGTACTCTTTATCCCATTGCTGTTGTCATTGTTCCACATTCCTACATGATCCTGGCTGTAATCGCCTCTCAGCGCTTTGACAAAGCGCCAGCCCTTCTTATACCAGAATTAATTTCTTCACTTTTTTCGTTAAAATTTTCTTTTATCGCTTTTTGGGCCTCTTTCCATATTATTCTATGCGATATAAGATTTTCAAAGTTTTCTGGGGATGGTACTCTTTTAGCTTTTTGATTAGCTATTCTCAGGAATCTGTAGAGTTTATCAAGGTGGCTGCTCTACCAGGATTTAGGTGTTTTGCCATCCTTTACCGCCAGGTGGCATGATTTGATTTCTTGATTTCCTGAATTTTGTGTTCAAACTCTTGAAGATTTGAGTCACATTCTAAAGTCTCTAAGGATTTTAGGAGCTTATTTTTTGCAATGAAGTTATTAGCTTCGACTTAACAATTGCTTGTTTCAATTATTACCGGAAAATGATGGCTGCCACCAATTCTAGTAGCATCCACATTCCAGTGAAGTTTGAGTTTGTGAAGGAGAGGTCCAACACAGAACCACTGTCTATTCTTGGGTCTCTTTGAAAAGTGTAGTTACCATTGTTAAGGTGATGAGAACTGGATTCCTGAATAAGTTGCAACAAGTGTTTGCCTCTGCCTGAGTTTACCCTATCCCCCCACTCAGCGGCTCTGGCATTGAAATCACCTAGTATGAAAGTGTTAGTGTGTGATTCAAGAAAATCTAGCAACCTTTGAATTTCGGCTTTAAAAGTGCCGATGCTGATGCTGGGTGGAAAGTATACAGATCAAATTGTCACATTGGGTTCTAAAAACACAGTTCTGGCAATGATTATGTCACTTTGGCTATAAGTATGCAATGGCTACACCTGCGTATCCATCATTCCGGTGCTTATTTACTGTGTTGTAATTTATTAACATCCTATACTGGTTTTGTTTTGAGAAAAAAATTTCACTAAAGGTGGCTATTTCTATACTATATTTATTCATATAGTACTCTATTGTGTCTATATTCGCTTTGAGTGATTGGCAATTATATTGCAGAATCTTCATTTGAGTCTCTTGTTCAATTTAAAGATTCACTAATCTCAAGCTCGTCTCTCCTAACCAAAATCGCTTCAAATTGTTGTCTTAACTGTTGAATTTATTGAAATACACTAGTGTCATTGCTTTGTATTGTTAGTCTTTGAGTTATTTTTATCATTTCCGCAATTAACTTTTCCAATTTAGAAACCATGTTTTTTTGATAAGCAATTGTATTGTATACTTGGATTGAGGGAGCTTTGGCCCTTGGACGCAAATAATCCTGATTTTTGGACTGAAATTCCTCATCGTTTGCCAGTATGTCAAATCGATTCGTGTTTTTGGGAAAATATGTATCTAGAACCTCCTTTTTTGAGAGTTTTTTGATGGTTTTAATCTGATTTATCGCCAACTCTTTCTCCCAGTGTGGGCAAATATTCTTATCTTTCGCGGTATGGCCGTTTTTACCACAGAGGATGCACGCATTTGTTTTGCAGTCAATATTGCTGCATTCTATTTTACCACTTTCGATACACCGTTTTTTGGACTTGCATCCAAATTTTGTGTGACCAAGTCTGCCGCAGTTGGCACATTGCCTCAGCGGTGGGATAAACATGTCGACATTTAGTTTAGAGTACTCAAAGATTATCTCTTTGAGAATGTCATTTCCTGCAAACCCTAGTTTTATAGTTGTAGTGGGAATGTGTGGGTCTTTTCTCTTAAATCTCATTATAGAGACTATCGGGACTGCCGATTTCGAATTTTTAAGTATGTCATACTCGTTAAAACATAGCGGCATCCCACGCACCACTCCATAGATTTCTAGTACTGTTCTAGGAACGAGGGTTTCAGTCCCCCTTTTTTAATTCTATTGTCTAACAGACGCTGTTCGCAGCGTATGTGTCTTTAAATGTCACTTTGTAAAGTGTTTGACCTATGGCGTATATTAAATCTAATTGTTGTACTTTTAAGTCTTTAATTTGGCTGAAGAGGGTTAAGCCAGTCGTTATTTTTTCATTTCTCATTGCTTGACTTTCAGAAGAATCTATTAGAATGAAAATATCTCCCTTAAAATTTGGCGGGTATTTCACCACCAACTTTGCGTTATTTTTGTCTTCTTCATTTTAACGCGCTTTTTTGTCTTCTTCCGAATTGAGATCAACAGTTATTTTTCCATTTTCTAAATTATTCTGTATCCATGTCGCCGGGAGCCCCGGTCACCTCTCTATAGTTGTCCGTGCAGATTTTCTTAAGCCATTGCTCCAGTCACGTCGTCATTTTCTAAGATTCTTGGTTTTTTGGCCGTGCCGCACTCCACATCGGTGAAGGATGCACCTGCCGCCGCGACGCCATTTTGGCCTTTATTCAAGTTTGCGTCACAGACGCAGCTTTTAGCATGCAACTTGAAGAATTTAAGTGCACTTCACTTGATTTTAAAGATGT